CTCTCTTCTTTTTTTCCTCTTTTTCCCCTTTTTTTTGCGCCGCCAATAGGGGGGGGGGGGGGCCGCGGCCGTTTCGGCCCCCTGGATCCGCCACTGAGTATGCCTGTGGTGTCCAGTGGCGTATCTGGCGCTTGTTCTCGTTTTGGAGGGGGGTGGGGGTGAGAGGGACGCAAAAACGTATCTTTTCCCCCTTGTTTTTTCTTCTTCCTCTTTCATTTTCTTTCCCTTTCTCTTTTTTGCTGAGGGGAGGGGGGAGGCAAGGGCCTTTCAATCCAAACCTTGTTGGCGTGCATTTTTGGTTATATGCGCCATGCATTTTTGGTTATATGCAGACTGCGTACCTCTCTGCCCTGCGCGTATCCCGTGTATGCGCGTGTATCTGACACGAAGGCAATCTGAATGTAATCGAGAAGGCTCACTTGACTCCAACTTTAATTTATCTTCAATATAAGGAGTAAAGCATAATTTGTTGATTAACGTTCTATTAGATCTTCTTTGATGTTGTACAGTATAAAACAAATAATGAATGTTTTTCATTCGTTTAATAGTGCGAATATTTTCATTCGTTGAAAGATTAACATTAATTCTATTCAACTCATGAAAATATTTGTACTATTGAACTCATAACCATTCATTATTTGTATAATAATCCATGCCTGTCAAAGTCATGAAGTTTTGGGAAATTTTGAAAAATGGGTGGATAGTGAATCTTTACAATTTTGATATATTTGGATGCCCCTGTGGATGTGGATGTATTAAAAGCACTAGTAATTTTAACCCTTAAAACACTTCTGCTTTCAAGAAAAATTTAATATTAAGATTTACCGGTGCTCCCGGTAAATTTTAATAAATTTCAAATAGCTCCTACGGCCGTACAATGGTAGATGCGACCATATGTAGTTGTGGTATATAATTTCCGAACGGGAATAGCTTATCGGTCGATTTTAGTCAAGAAACATTGTTTTATAGTGTGTGTGTGTGTATTTGGTTTTTTACAGACGTGTATCAATCAGATATGATTATTTACGTCTGGGGACCGACCTTTAACGTCACCATCCGAAAGACGTGACTCAGTTTCGAACCTGCGTCCTCGGCTGAATCAGTTTGTAACTTCCACTGTTAGCTGGATTACAGGCGCACGCCACAACGCCTAGTTATAGCTTAATTAATATCTTGACCTTGAGAGGGAGCTAAACAACATAAAGTGTTTATTATTTATAATTTCATAACTTTAGAGTCGATTTCGACCGCGACAACGATCAGTGAATATTGTAGGATCGCATATGCTTCCAATATGTTCATTTGAACCAAATTCACGACCCCATACCAAAACTTTGTATTACCTTTAAGGCTTGTGTAGCAGGATGATACCAAATCATCTATACCTGTCAAAGTCACAAAAAGTAAACTTTATGTACAAAAAAAATACATCATAATCATCATCTACCCTAATTGTCCCAGTCAAGACAATTAAGGCTTGTGTGCCAAAAAGACATTATTATCTACCCCTGTCCAAATCAAGAAAATTAAGGCTTATGTGGCATAAAAAAAACATTACATGTATTATATACCTCTGTCCAAGTCATGAAAATTAAGGCTTGTGTGGCAGAAAGACATTATTATCTACCCCTGTCCAAGTCAAGAAAATTAAGGCTTGTGTGGCAGAAAGACATTATTATCTTCCCCTGTCCAAGTCAACAAAATTAGGGCTTGTGTGGCAGAAAGACATTATTGTCTACCCCTGTCCAAGTCAAGAAAATTAGGGTTTGTGTGGCAGAAAGACATTATTGTCTACCCCTGTCCAAGTCAAGAAAATTAAGGCTTGTGTGGCAGAAAAACATTATTGTCTAACCCTGTCCAAGTCATGTAAATTAAGGCTTGTGTGGCAGAAAGACATTATTATCTACCCCTGTCCAAGTCATGAAAATTAAGGCTTGTGTGGCAGAAAGACATTATTGTCTACCCCTGTCCAAGTCAAGAAAATTAAGGCTTGTGTGGCATAAAAACATTACATGTATTATATACCTGTACCACTGTCCAAGTCAAGAAAAATTAGGGCTTGTGTGGCAGTAAGACATTATTGTCTACCCCAGTCCAAGTCAAGAAAATTAAGGCTTGTGTGGCAGAAAGACATTATTATCTACCCCTGTCCAAGTCAAGAAAATTAGGGCTTGTGTGGCATAAAAAAAACATTACATGTATTATATACCTCTGTCCAAGTCAAGAAAATTAAGGCTTGTGTGTCAGAAAGATATTGTCATCTACCCCAGTCCAAGTCAAGAAAATTAAGGCTTGTGTGGCAGAAAAACATTATTGTCTACCCCAGTCCAAGTCCAGAAAATTAAGGCTTGTGTGGCATAAAAACATTACATGTATTATATACCTGTACCACTGTCCAATTCAAGAAAATTAGGGCTTGTGTGGCAGAAAGGCATTATTATCTACCCAGTCCAAGTCAAGAAAATAATGGGCTTGTGTGGCAGGAAGACATTACATGTATTATATACCTCTGTCCAAGTCATGAAAATTAAGGCTTGTGTGGCAGTAAGACATTATTATCTACTCCAGTCCAAGTCAAAAAAATTAAGGCTTGTGTTGCTAGAAAGATATTGTCATCTACCCCAGTCCAAGTCAAGAAAATTAAGGCTTGTGTGGCAGAAAGACATTATTATCTACCCTGTCCAAGTCAAGAAAATTAAGGCTTGTGTGGCAGAAAGACATTATTGTCTACCCCTGTCCAAGTCAAGAAAATTAGGGCTTGTGTGGCATAAAAAAAACATTACATGTATTATATACCTCTGTCCAAGTCAAGAAAATTAAGGCTTGTGTGTCAGAAAGATATTGTCATCTACCCCAGTCCAAGTCAAGAAAATTAAGGCTTGTGTGGCAGAAAAACATTATTGTCTACCCCAGTCCAAGTCCAGAAAATTAAGGCTTGTGTGGCATAAAAACATTACATGTATTATATACCTGTACCACTGTCCAATTCGAGAAAATTAGGGCTTGTGTGGCAGAAAGGCATTATTATCTACCCCAGTCCAAGTCAAGAAAATAATGGGCTTGTGTGGCAGGAAGACATTACATGTATTATATACCTCTGTCCAAGTCATGAAAATTAAGGCTTGTGTGTCAGAAAGATATTGTCATTCACCCCAGTCCAAGTCAAGAAAATTAAGGCTTGTGTGGCAGAAAGACATTATTGTCTACCTCTGTCCAAGTCATGAAAATTAAGGCTTGTGTGTCAGAAAGATATTGTCATCTACCCCAGTCCAAGTCAAGAAAATTAAGGCTTGTGTGGCAGAAAGACATTATTGTCTACCCCTGTCCAAGTCATGAAATTTAAGGCTTGTGTGGCAGAAAGACATTATTATCTACCCCAGTCCAAGTCAAGAAAATTAAGGCTTGTGTGGCAGAAAGACATTATTGTCTACCCCAGTCCAAGTCAAGAAAATTAAGGCTTGTGTGGCATAAAAACATTACATGTATTATATACCTGTACCACTGTCCAAGTCAAGAAAATTAGGGCTTGTGTGGCAGAAAGACATTATTGTCTACCCCAGTCCAAGTCAAGAAAATTAAGGCTTGTGTTGCTAGAAAGATATTGTCATCTACCCCAGTCCAAGTCAAGAAAATTAAGGCTTGTGTGGCATAAAGACATTATTATCTACCCCAGTCCAAGTCAAGAAAATTAAGGCTTGTGTGGCAAAAAGACATTATTGTCTACCCCTGTCCAAGTCCAAAAAAATTAGGGCTTGTGTGGCATAAAGACATTATTATCTACCCCTGTCCAAGTCAAGAAAATTAAGGCTTGTGTGGCAAAAAGACATTATTGTCTACCCCTGTCCAAGTCCAAAAAAATTAGGGCTTGTGTGGCATAAAAAAACATTACATGTATTATATACCTCTGTCCAAGTCAAGAAAATTAGGGCTTGTGTGGCAGAAAGGCATTATTATCTACCCCAGTCCAAGTCAAGAAAATAATGGGCTTGTGTGGCAGAAAGACATTACATGTATTATATACCTCTGTCCAAGTCATGAAAATTAAGGCTTGTGTGGCAGAAAGACATTATTATCTACTCCAGTCCAAGTCAAGAAAATTAAGGCTTGTGTGTCAGAAAGACATTATTATCTTCCCCTGTCCAAGTCAAGAAAATTAGGGCTTGTGTGGCAGAAAGACATTACATGTATTATATACCTCTGTCCAAGTCATGAAAATTAAGGCTAGTGTGGCAGAACGACATTATTGTCTACCCCTGTCCAATTCAAGAAAATTAAGGCTTGTGTGGCATAAAAAAACATTACATGTATTATATACACTGCACACACAAAACCATCCACCCATGACACACACATACACAGAGCCATACACTGCCTACTACTTTGCTTACAAATACTACACACTAACAAGTCACACACACACACACACAAGTACTGTAGATGCGCATAGTACCTAGCTACCTGGATGTCAACTGTAGATGGCACTATTCCGTTTGGCTACTTGGACACAACCCCTCTCTAAAATTTGGACATTTATTTTGGGCCTTTTTTGGGGAAAAATTTTTCTTGTGTGACTAAATCTTAGTTGATTAGAAATGACATGTCAGACATCTTAGACACTGAATATGATAGTTTTCTTGTGTGGCTAGACACACAAGTCTAAAGTGACACACAAGGATATCTCATACGTAAAACTAAACACACAAGCATACCATCGCAAACTCGTACAGACGTACGGACGGACGGACGGACGGACGGACAACCCGAAAACATAATGCCTCCGGCTACTTCGTAACGGAGGCATAAAAACATTTGCCAGTCTCCATCACTAGGAAAACTATGAAACTAGTTCCTTCTTTCTGTCAAAATTCATACATCTATAAATGGCCACTGAGAAGAGGCATTTAAGAAGAAAAAAATTGGTAAACATTAGGATACTTAGGATACATTAGAATATGCACTTGGATATACATAAATGTATTAATAATCCATAACAGACTTACAGACAAATGAATTGCTCCCCTAGGCTTCTGCTTCTTGCCTTCCTCATTCTAAAGAGAGAGAGTAATACACAAAAAGAGATAATATTATCATTCGAAAAAAACAATAAACACCCATCATAATCTTCCATAGCATTTGGTGTTAGAGGTCTCTATCATCATCATCATCATGACATCATTCATAAAAATCAGCATTTTACCCCTCTTATGTGGGGTTACTGATTTTTGCACCATGATGACACTCTTTACCCTATCTTTCTATGAAATTTCGGTCTTCCTTTCCCTCTTATGCCATCCACTTCCGGATCTCATGCTCTTTTTACAGGTTAATCATCTTCTCTTCTCAACACATGACCCATCCATCTAAATCCACTTCTCTTTTCCACTTCCCCAATTTCTTCCCGACCGAACCTTTCCATGGGCTCACCTGTGTTTTTTCTATTAGATACTTTATCCTTAGTTTAAATTCTAGAGAAACATTGAATGTCTCTCAGTGCTTAACAGTTATCATAACCCTGGTAATCAGAGGCAAGCCTGCCTTGACACAATATGCACATTCTCCACTACCTGGGAAGCATTTCAACCATTTTAATTTATTTTATTTTATTTTATTGATTTTATTTATCAATTGTCTCTACTTTTATTCATGGCCATTAACAATGTGACATTTACATTTTGATACATTGACATTGATACACATTTCCAATACAATGGCATTAAAATGTTAGAACATGGTAGTACACTCAAATCTGTCTACAGCGGCGGCCAAGGGAAACATAAAAGTTGGTCTTTGTAGACAGGTTCCTTTAGTACATGTTTCAATGAGAAACCATTTTCAAGGGAAACAAAAAAATGTGCTTGTTGTAGACAGGTGGTCTTTGTTGACACGTGGTCACCAAAGCAGGTTTGACTGTAGTAGCTATGCTAAAGCCGGAGTAATAAATTGTTGGGCGCCAGGAGTGCCCCACAGTTGTACCCACTATTATCATTATTATTACTTTATAAATAGACTTACCAGGAAGTACTCAAGGGCACCTCTGCTAGGATCCAGAACAAACCATCGGTACTGCCACCCCTTCACTACATTGGTGAACTTGTTCAACAGGCCTTCATGGGGCTGCCTGCAATGCACAACAAAAGGCAGTGAGATATGAATAGACAGGTACATGTATAATAACATATTCAAATTTATGGATATTTCTTTCCTAGAGACCTAGGCATGCAGCTTAAGTATAGATCCCCTGACATCCCATTGAAACGCATGTTAAACTTAATACATGCGTTTCAATGGGATGTTGGCGAACTTGTACCTATGACAGCTTCATGAGATGCTCCTCTGGTGACGAGGTTTTCCAGTAACCTGTTACTAATGAATGAACTACAATACTTGGAATCCAGTCTGCATACATTACTTGTTGTTCAGTCGGGCAAGCCTTAAGCAAGCTTTTAAGTTGTCAAAAGCAACCTTTCTTTAAAGTTCAAACAAACTGCATAACATTTGAATATGTTCGTAAACCTGTTTATTTGTGTCTCCATGGTAAGACCAGCCTAAACATTTAAACACACTACAAGAACATGCAAATCTGTATACCTATCTAATATCTATTTCGTCTTTTTTTAATTTATGTGTTTCATGTATATCTTTTTTAATTACTATTCATTTTTGGATTGCACAAGCTGCCAAATTTTAAAGATACTAGCAGCAGCATACATAGGTTCTCATAAGGAACTTGACACCTTTTGAATATTAACTCATAACAGACATTGTGCGATGCATTGCACCCTCCGCCAACAACCCCATAAGGAAAGCTCATCATCATCATAAATGTAGATGCGATTGAGATGGTTTGAACACTTGGAAAAGGCAGATGAACCAGCAAAGGACAGTATGACACGAGCAGTGGAGAAAAAAGAAGAGGAAGGCAGAGAACTCGTCGAGAGGATAACAGTAAGAGAGATATGGGGGAGCTAATTCTGACTGCGGCACAAACAGGGTACAGAGGGGAGTGGAGACAAGAGGATTCTGGTAACTAGCTAGCCTATCCAATATGCGTCGTGCTTTAGAAGTATACTAATCCGGATATATGGAGACTGACATCGGCGCGGGCGTCAGCCCAAGCGCCTATCATCACTGGTGCATGCGAAAAGTTTTATTTTCTTATATGTACCTTGTTTCGTTCATAGAAAATCTACGAACCCCCTGTAAAGCTCTTTCAAGAATATTTATGTAGCATGGACCAAAATAGGCCAATGAGCGATGAGGAACCTGGAGATGATATGTGATTGGTTGAATCAAAGTGATCGATCACCAAATAAGGCTAGTCTTATGAATCATGCATGAGAATACCCTCGTCACACATACGATACACATATATGAATAATGATGACTTCACCAGTGATGATAGGCGCTCGGGCTGACGGCCGCGCTGATGTCAGTCTCCATAACACGATCAGTATATTTGCCATAAAGCCTGACGCATATCGGATAGGCTAGTAACTAGACCCTGCTTAAAGGGATAATGGTGCATGGAATAGCAGTAGTACAGACTTCAAACTTCCCTATATGGAAAGGGTATAGGCCAACTTCAACAAGTACTCCATGAACACGCGCCAACAACCAGCAAGGTTTGAAAAGTAGATCGTATTTCAGGAGTCTTATATAATATGCAGTATGAACAGGGCTAAACTCCTCAAAAAACGTTCTGCAATTCAAGTTTGAGCATCGATATAGATCTCTCTTAACCCTATTTTAACTGGGCTATTTCAGACCAGGTTTTTACTGGGGGGGGGGGTCAATTTGACCCCTCCCCCCCTTAGATCTCGGCCGTTTCACCGCCGATCGCTGCGAAAATTTGCATGGATGTCAAGTGAAGTGTATAGAATACTATGGTAATTTCAAATTTTTGAAAAATTCACTCATTTGCATATTTATGGTAATTTATGCAAATAAGGTCATCAAATTCACATTTCTGCCCATAAATCATAGATTATCCATGTTTACGTATTCTTTTTCACTACATATATTTATCAGACCATTTGGAATAATAATACAACACAAAAAATTGGAAGAGCCAGGTTATTCCTTATGTTATCTCTTGTTTTTATAATTTCTTATGTATTTCATTGTTTTTTTAACTTACATGTATGTATTTTATTTATAACTACAATTCAACTATTTTGACCCCAAAACAAACATCTAAACTTTAAACAAGACTGAATAACCAATGTTTTATCTATTTTTAGGAAAAATGACTTTTACATATGTTTTGTACACAAATCACGAAAACGAGCGATTTTCGGGCTGACATGCAAAGACAAAAGGTCACGTGACCTTGTAACCGTAGGTCCGATTTTCGAAAAAAAATGTTTTCAAAGATGCGTAAGACTCGAAAGTAAAAAGTCATGAAAGGAAAATTTTTATATCTGCCACGGTTTCGGAGTAGTCGCGAAATTTCTACAGGGTGGGGGGTTCAATTGACCCCCTTCCCCCCAGTTAACATAGGGTTAAAGGTACTATGTCCCACTTGCAGGCCCCAAAAATGCAAAGGTTAAATTCCAACGGCATTTGAAAGATGATACTAATTAGAACTTTCCTAAAAAAAAACTGGGGGCTTGAAAATGTCTTTGAGTGGGAAAATAACGACTACTAATTGTCGAATCGACTTAAGAGCTATAGAGCCAGTAAGTAATTGTATGATTTTCAGATCATTATACCGAATGGTTGTACGTTTTATGCTGCGCAAAGATTCAATCCGTTTAATTTTGGCCATTACAAGAAGTGGGTTATTGATGTAGACAAATGCTCATGTACCCTTTACAGTTCATTTGATGTATGTTATTACCAAAGAAGAAAAAAAGCCAGTCGGTCACTCAATAGTGTCTGACAGTGAAGTCTAACAAGTAAATGGGTTTCCTTGCATAATTTGAATATTAGGACACTGCTAACGTTTAAATTTCAAAGATAGGACAAACATGACATATTCATAATTCCTGCAAAGTTCTACAGAATTTGATGTTGGCTGCAAAAGGGACATAGTATCTTTAATATATCATGCTATTTGATGTTGGTATAATTTTAAAGATGAAGTTGAGTTCTGGTCATGCGATTGCATTGTGAAAGAAACGGTGTGGAACCGACCAGAAAAGGTTGATCATCTAGCATATTAGAATCTGTGTGTATTGCAAGGTTCTGGAATCATCAAAATGATAAGAAATGTGGCCAAGTCTAGGTAAAGTTACAAACACTTGCACAGAAAGATGTATATGGGACTACACGAACACCTGGCGTAAAAAGCCGGCCCCCCGATTTTTACGATGTTACATGCATATTTAGAATATGAAGGCATTTGAAGAGCCATGCTTTTCAGGGAACATGTCTTAACTGATGTTCTTCCACACTTGCATAATAAGAATGAGTAATGCTCACAAATTATTTTTCACCTCTTCCCAGAACTCAACCTTCTCTTTAAAGCCTGTTTATTCCCCTTTACAATGATGTCCCATTTGTAATGACTATGTCACCATGGATATGGGGCCAAGTTAAAGATGAAATTTTACAAAAAGAATTCTTATTCCTTCAAAACACGATCTATACTCGAAAATGAAAAATTCATCATTGAATTTAGACTGAAAAAAACTAATAAAAACCAACAACAAAGTGAAAGTGAATGAAAGAAATCTCACCGGAATACGTCTTCGTCCTCCATTGCTGAAGCTTGTTACAAAGAAATATTGTCAAAATCTGAAAGGCAAAAGAGGACGTAGGATTTATTACAAGAGGAAAAAATAGAATAAATATACAATAGGCTTGCGGGTGCACCATGTTATGATAATTGCTTTCTATTAAACCTAACATGGTGCATCCCCAAGCCTACTGTACATGTACATATATCTACATCACCATTCAAGCCGATATTTACAAGCAGCATCTTAGAATAGATGTTGTATGATTTATCACATAAAAAAGATCCAGTGTATTGGGCTCACTTTTTCGACGTTGATGATAGCCATATATATACAGTAAGCTCAATACATGCTTTTTTCTTTGCGCAAGCTTAGCCTACACTCCAATACACATCATGTACATGTACATATCACGGCATAGAGGCAATGTGAAAGACCTTCTCCGATGAAAATACAACTGAAATCATTACTCATTAGGAAATAAAGTTAAATTTAAAGATAAAGGTGAGTTCTGGTAATGCGATTGCATTGAGAAAGAAAAGGTGTGGAATGGATCAGAAACAGTTGATCATGTAGCATATAAGTATTGGCGTGCAATGCAAGGTTCTGGAGTCATCAAAATCATCATAAATTTGGCCGAGTCTTGGTAGAGTAACAAGCACTGTACACAGAAAGCTATATATGGGACAACACATATAGTGTCGGGGCTAGTACTACCTTGATTTCCTTGTCTTTCTATGCTCATTACTCAGCCAGTATACATTTTCTTCCACATGTCATTTATTTGTAATCTTGAACATTCAGTGTAAGTTTTGTTTGATTCTGGGGGGGGGGGGGGGGGGGGGCTCACTGAGTTATTCAGCATGATTTTGCAGTCAATGGAGATGAATTTCCTGACATAGAGATTGAAATAAGTGAGAAAGAATTGTTATAGTTGGTCTAACTTGCCTCACAATAACAAATGAAAAATACTGTGTCAGTGTGTTCGATCGATTCAAGACTAGCCGCTGACGAGTGACTGTACTTTGAAAAGATTTTGCACAGAATTAACATGTAATTTTGGACTTTGTCCCGGCAATGACACGCCCATTCCCTCGGGCCTGTCTAATTCTCAACGTCATTAGTGACCATGAAATTTAAGAGTTTTAAGGCTCTAACGGACCGATTAGCGTAGAAGGAATCCCCAACTTTGAAGCTAAATATCTCCTTTTTTTATGACACTTCTGGAGTCTGGAGATGGATGAGTTGGCTTGGTTATGATAATTGCTTTCTATAAAGGCCCACTGCACTACTGGTAGCTACTTGCGCCCTCTATATAACAAACCATGCCTAATCGGTGACCATTGGTCCCCCATGATCCTCTTTTTCTTATGTTAACTGAGAGCTGAGTTGATGAGATAACCACCTGTCCAGTGACCTTGCAGGGCACTCTAATCCCTCCTGTAAACTACGGCAGATAAGCTTTAAACCTAGTTCTAACATACAGAAATGCCTACCGTTATTTAAGATTTTAGATTTTGGTATTGGCCTCCCTGCTTGGATGGACAGCATGCAAGAATAGATTGAAGGAGGACAGGAAGGACAGAAGAGAGAATGATAGGTGGCTGTCGCAAATTAAAAAGGACACTTTCTCATTTCCCCAGGATTGAATTTGAAGGTGGGTTTCTGATTTACAAGTGATTTTATATTTTAACTAAACAAAACTTTTAAAAAATCAAAGTATTTTTTTCCAATCAACGACAGGGAGCACGTAGAACTTAATGCATTGAGCGCTCTACAGTGAGTTTACGCGCTCCCATTGGCCGAACCGCTCAAGTGGCTTCGATTTAAGTGAGAGAGGGCCTGCTTAACTTAAGTTCAATGGCAATGCCAATACGTAATATTACATAACACACTGACATGTCATACTCTGAACAGGCGACGCACTTCACACATAACTGACGCATTGCATTCTTCTTCTTCTTCTTCGCTATAAGTACAGGCCGCCATCGGGTGTATTCTCGTACTGATTGTAGGTGCTGTGCAGGTATATATATACATGTAGTGTCTCAATAAAAGGTTTACAATGAGCCATGTGCAGTTAAAAAAACATCCGTAGCTTAACGGAGCTGGATCTTGAGTACCTCTCTCTTAAAGCTTAGCAGAGAGGTACAGCCAGGGCAGCGTTTCTCGAAACCGTCATAACTACAAGTTCACCGACATCCCATTGAAACGCGTGTTAAACTTAATACACGCGTGTCAATGGGATGTTGGTGAACTTGTACTTATGACGGTTTCGAGAAACGCTGCCCATGTGACGGCGACCTGCGGTAGTGAGTTCCAGAGCCTAGTGGCATCTGGAAAGAAGCTCCTTTGAAGAACTTGTGAGCGAGCATATGGCACTTGGAGTTTCTGGTCGTGGCCTCGTAGCACACACATAAAATTGAATTGATGCGTATTACCGGTAGTCATGCTGCTATGTTTCTTAGCATGTATAGCAGGTCTCTATAATTTGTATAAAAGACAAAGTTAACCATGTTAACTAGGCATTGAGGCCTGTGCCTGTAATCCAGCTTACAATCAAAGTTACAAACTGATTCAGCAGAGCCAGAGGACGCATATTCGACACATTATCGAGTCCTTCTTATGGATGGTGACGTTTGAAGGTCGGTCCACAGATGTAAATAATCATAGCCTATCCGTATCACACATAGGGTCTAGCTGCTTTACTATCCTGGCTGTGTATTAAAGCTGTGCTATTGATTCTCAACATTTCAAACACCACTGGCACTGTACAAAACTGATTTTACTCAAAATCTTGTTATCTGATTTAGCCTTAAGGGCTCTCTCGAATGTTTTTTTAATGATATTATTCGAGAGAGCCTTAAACGGCTCCCATACCCCTGCACGGAGAGGCATGTAAACAAAACTCAAAAGTGGTCCAAAATCACACTTTCGCGCACCGACCAATATTGGACAGTGGCTTTGATAAATTTTGTCGTAGTTTTGGTCTTAATTAGCGCTTTAATTTCAAAATCGGATCTAAAAATAACAAAATAAGAGCAATTTTCTTACCAGACCGATACAGCTCAGCTCCCTTTTCACGTGTACCGTGTGAATTCACGATGTCTACACAATGGTGATGACCTCTGACTGGCACTTCCGTAATTGTGGGTAAATTGTGCTGCTTCCGTATAATGCGCTGTATGAGTGTTATTCAGCGCATTATACGGAAGCAGCACATTACGAAGTGCTAGTCAGAGGTCATCACCATTGTGTAGACATCGTGAATTCACACGGTACACGTGAAAAGGGAGCTGAGCTGTATCGGTCTGGTAAGAAAATGCTCTTATTTTGTTATTTTTAGATCCGATTTTGAAATTAAAGCGCTAATTAAGACCAAAACTACGACAAAATTTATCAAAGCCACTGTCCAATATTGGTCGGGTGCGCGAAAGTGTGATTTTGGACCACTTTTGAGTTTTGTTTACATGCCTCTCCGTGCAGGGGTATGGGAGCCGTTTAAGGCTCTCTCGAATAATATCATTAAAAAAAACATTTCGAGAGAGCCCTTAAGGCTAATCTGATTGATACACGTCTGTAAAGACCCATTAGTCTACACACACACACACACACACACACACACTGAAGCAGAAAGTGACATGATCGAGTAACGTAGCTTAGTGACTAGTGACAACATGCAGCAGCAGGAGCTCTCCAGAATTAGAGTCTAGCATTACATTTTTTAAACACCGAGATGACGAACGTTACATCAATACTGGTTAATGGGGCAAGACATAGTCATCGACTATAAAAAAACAATACAAAGTACACACACAATCAAACATGAATTGCTATTCAAAGATCAACAAATAATCAAGACAGTAGTATTCCATACACATTCAATGCTTACATTTCTTATGAAAACCAATGATTTAGATCTACGGTGCGTTCTTACCCGACGTAAATGAAATATATAGACTGTCGTATTTTTAATTCGCAGCAGCAAGAATCATTCATGATTCATATATAAATAGCGCACATATGCAGCGCGCGCAGCTAGCTCGTTTTAATTGCACCTTGTACATAATACACCAACTGGGAACTGACTGCACTGCACAAGAGCACCTTGCCAGACATACATTTTTAACAGGCGCGGATCTACGGGGGGGGGGGGGGGGGGGGGGTTAGGGGGTTTAAACCCCCCCCCCCCCCCTTGGGCGCCCCCCCCCCCAAAAAAAGGGGGGGGGGGGAAACCCAGGACCAAAATCCAATTGAAACCAGTTGAAATCTCCAACTGGTTTCAATTGGTTTCAACTGGTTTCAATTGGTTTCAATTGGTTTCAATTGGAATATAACATTTCCAGTTGAAACCAATTGCCGAACTGGAAAATATTGTTATGGGTACTCATTCCAGTTCAAACCAATAAGAAGTGCAACTGGAACCAGTAAGGTAATTTTTCCAGTTACTCAATTGGTTCCAGTTAGAAGTTATTTCAGTTACCCAACTGGTTCCAGTTAGAAGTTCAACTGGAAACAGTAAGATGATTTTCCTGTTACTCGATTGGTTCCAGTTAGAATTCATTTCCAGTTACCCAACTGGTTCCAGTTAGCATTCATTTCCAGTTGGAAGTCATTTCCAGTTACCCAACTGGTTTCAGTTAGAATTCATTTCCAATTACCCAATTGGTTCCAGTTAGAAGTCATTTCCAGTTACCCAACTGGTTCCAGTTAGCATTCATTTCCAGTTAGAAGTCATTTCCAGTTAGAATTCATTTCCAGTAACCCAACTGGTTCCAGTTAAAATTCATTTCCAGTTACCCAACTGGTTCCAGTTAGCATTCATTTCCAGTTAGAAGTCATTTCCAGTTAGAATTAATTTCCAGTAACCCAACTGGTTCCAGTTAAAATTCATTTCCAGTTACCCAACTGGTTCCAGTTAGAAGTCATTTCCAGTTACCCAACTGGTTCCAGTTAGAATTTATTTCCAGTTACCCAACTGGTTCCAGTTAGCATTCGATCATTTCCAGTTAGAAGTAATTTCCAGTTACCCAACTGGTTCCAGTTAGAATTCATTTCCAGTTACCCAACTGGTTCCAGTTAGAATTCATTTCCAGTTACACAATTGGTTCCAATGGAAATATTTCCAGTTACCCAACTGGATCCAATTGAAACCAGTTAATTTGCATATTATCTGCTTGTGTGCAGATCAATGTTTTATGTAATTTATTTTGATTTACAATGTAATTATTAATTAATTTTCATTTGCAAGTAATGCATTTGTTTTAGATAAATATAAAGATTAATTAGCAATGATAAGCATGTTCATTAGTAACATATTTTTGTAATTACACAGATTAAAAGTTGATTAGTAAAACACTAACCATGTACAAAATACATCAAATACAAACATATATAATGGCAATGCCTTCCTTGTTGAGTATATTATATGGTCTGCATATTATAATGCCCTTTACATTGTACTTAATGTAGACACATATAACAATGCTTCTGTGTTGACATGAGCGATAATTAGTGCAAGAGCTAATTAACTTATAACTAATTAAGTTTATGCCAACTGTTAAGTTTCAATTGGATCCAATTGAAACCAATTGAGACCAGTTGAAACCAATTGAAACCAGTTGAAACCAATTGAAACCAATTGAAGCCAACTGGTTTCAATAGGGAAATTGGAACAACTGGTTCCAGTTGAAACCAATTAGGCAACTGGAACCAGTTGGCAATTGGTTTCAACTGGTTTCAATTGGAACCAGTTGGCATTTGGTTTCAACTGGTTTCAATTGGAACCAGTTGGCAACTGGTTTCAATTGGAACCAGTTGTTCCAATTTCCCTATTGAAACCAGTGGCAACTGGTTTCAATTGGTTTTGCTCCAATTGGTTTCAACTGGATTTTGGTCCTGGGAAGGAAGAAAAAAGAACGCACGCTGGAGAGAAACCCTTTCAAGTGCAAATATTTTGAGAAGATATTCAACTCATCTGGTAACTTAACCAAACACATGATAACTCTGGATATAACTGTGTATTAAACTGTTACTTGATTTAAAAAAGACGTTATCATGCACTGCTTTTTATGGTCTCCATTGTGTTAATAGATTCCAGGAAAACATCACTTACGGGGTTCAAATAAACACCCCCAAAAAAATCGGCTCGCCGCTTCACGGCTCGTGGACGATGCTCTGCATCGTCATTATTTTGGTCAAACCCCCCCCCCCCCTTAGCAAAAAGCTAGATCCGCCCCTGTTTAACCTTGACGTATATCCTGACTGATGGATCCTGTCAAGTACCGACGTAGAAGATTGCTGTGGAAGAAGATATAAAAACGTTGCCACCATTTTAAATAGATAAGAGATGTTTTCAGATGAAATATGAACCATACATGAAGGAAGATAATCATGCAGTAAAAGGGAATTGCATAATTACAACAAAATATTCGATACATTAGCTGTGCACAACAGTGTAATGAGGTACCCGAGTACACTCCCAGGCTCACAGGCGAATACTCGAATATTCGGACGCCATGTTTCTTTATAATTTTTTTGAATTTTTTGGATTTTTTTTGATTTTTTTTGATTTTTTTTTTAATTTTTTAATTTTTGGATTTTTTTCCTTTTTTTTCTTTTTTGCCACTACCATACCACTCGGCAGTTTCTCAGGTCCCTCGCTGAAAACGCATGCAACTTTACTTTGAGTTGCAGTTGAAGGCGCCGATTTAATAAGAATAATAACAGTAAACAATGCTGTTTTAAAAACCAAAGATGGCAGAATAATCCATTTTCCTCCAAGTCCAAACAGAAATCTGGACATTTGGTCCCAGTTTCTGAAAGGTGAGTTTGACAGTGCTTGAGTTGGGAAACATTTTTACCGACGGTACCATGCCAGCGGACGCTGCTTTCCCTGGCACGGGTAAGCGTGGGCCTGGACATTTTTTTTTTTTTTTTTTTCAATTTTTTTCAATTTTTTTTTTTTTGCGGCCGAATATTCGGGTACAAGAAATCGTACCCGAGTAGTTGTCAACCGTGCGGGTACTCGAGCATTCGACTACCCGTCGCAGCCTTACTGAGTATATACAAAAATGTTTATATAAAATAAAACATATAGATCTAGATCTATCTGTACATTGTATTATATAGACCTAATTAAGGTATAAACCGGTTTGGAAAACGCCCCCCCCCCCCTCTCAAAAAATGGAAGCTCGTATTATACCAATCATGTGAAAGAATTTGTTTTGACTAATACGTGATGCCATACAAATTTTGCCGGGAAACCGCCTACTAATTGATAACCTCCACAGGGGCCCCACAAGCATTGCTTTTTGGGGTCTCAATTTGGGTCATGTTTGTTCGTCATGATTACTATGCCATGTGTTTTTTTAATAAACTGAACTGAACGGATATTTGGTAAATTATCATATCGAGGCCTTCGATCTGATCGGTTAGAAGTTAGAGAAAAGTGATATGTCACGCGGAGCGCGGAAGCTTTGACGTTTCATTGAATTATTACTTTTAATCCTAAATTCACTCCCCCCCCCCCCCCCCCCCCCCTCGGAAGCTTTGTCGTTTCATTAAATATTAGAGAAAGACGACGATTCGTTGTACTGTTTTAGACTCAACCCTTGTCTGAATTCAGTTACAACCCCCCCCCCCCCTCCTGCATGCGCGAAGCGGGGAAAGTTTGTCGTTTCATTAAATTATTAGAGAAAGAAGACGATTCGTTGCACCGAATATTATTTATTGTCTGAATTTTCAAAAATGTTTCTTTGTCCCATAAAAAGTGACAGTTCGTAGGAGAAAAAAATTGCCGGCCTACCGACATACATCTCACCGACTTTAAACGTTTGCATTATATAGCACATGAGGATCGAGCAACAATACCGTCAACAGCGGACCCAACATAGCAACATAATTATCTATGCGTATCTTTCTTGCCCCCTCGACGTGATTGCTCCTAAAAAACAACCCCCTCTCTTTTTTACTCCCACCCTTCTTCTCTCAGGCTCTTACCCCCCCCCCTCTCTCCTCTCTTTCATCTCCCGTTTCTTTTGTTTCCCTTTTCTCTTCTTTTTTTCATTTTCTCCTTTTCTTTCTTTTCTTTCGTTTCCTTTTTTTCCACTCCTTCCTCTTTTTTTCCCTTTTTCACTCTTCTCTTCTCTTTCCTTTCTTTCTTTCCTTTTCCTTTTTTTTTAATTTTTATTTTCTTTCCCTTTCCCTCTCATTTCCCCTCCCCCTTTTCTCATTTCCCGACAACAGCGCAACTTTACCGACAATATCCTGCCAGGTGGGAGTGTCGTACCCCCACACCCCTCCTTTTAGCGATGCCCTGGTCGTTATCCCATTATTATATTAAAAGAAATGAAATTCCACATGCTTTCGCAACTCTCTCCTATCGGTATTTAACTATATTTCATTTTTTTCCTTTCTGCTTTAACTCACAAAAATTCTCTCCCCCCCCCTTTCCATCTCTTTTTTTTTTTGGGGGGGGGGGGCAACACGCTTGGAAAGAGGGACCCCATATTATGCACACTGCCAAATTTCGTTCCCCCTCCCCGCCCCTTTCCCGTTAAAAAACAGCTTCGTATAATATCATCCCCTTTCTTTCTTTTCTCTTCTCATTATTCTCCTTTCCCTCTTTTCTCTCCTCCGTCTTTCACCATTTCCTCCTTTCCGCCTTTTCTCTCCTCTCTCCCTCTTCCCCTTTTTTTCCTTTCCTCCCCCCTTTTCTCTCCTCCTTCATATTTCTTCTTCTTTCTCTCTTCCCTTTTCTTCACTTTCCCCTCCTTTTTCTTTCCCCTTCTTTTTCTCCTTTTCTTTTTTTCCGGGGGGGGGGGGGGCACGTGCCCCCTGTGTACCCCTGAATCCACCACTGTAAACGGAAGCTACAGGAACAAAGCAAGCAAGAAATTATCTGGCTGTTATTGGTTGCTGACAATCACAACAATGTAGACGCAATGCCAGAAGTTTACTGAAAATGGGCTGTAGCATGCAATGCAACCTAGAATAAACGTACAAGGGTATTCATGTA